ATACAGAGAGTAAGATACAAATATTGACAAAGCATTTACATGCTATGCTTTCTTTAGGTCTTTGATACTTGATATTATATGAGTGGGAAAGGTGAGAGAATACTTTCAAGAAGAAGGGCAGTTAAGGTATTGAAGATATAAGTGTGAATGTCAAAGCTGTACATTTATGGGCCCTGCACGCTTCCACTGCACTACTCTGCTGACAAAGTTTATTGTAATGTGGGAGTTATGATATATAGTAGTTTTCTTCTAGTGAAAGAATAAGACAAATTAAATATCTGTAATCATTTCAAAACTGGAGAGCGCATACTTTATTACTAAATAATTTTTATCAGCTGTTCTTTTTCTACAATTATAATAACATTGAATAAGTGTTAATTAGCTAGTGTGTTTAATAAATGCATGCCACCAACCACACAAAACCTTTGAGAAAGCCCCATCAACCATATTATAATGGGCCCTATGCAAGCAAATTCTGCTATGGAAAACATTAATCTAAGTGAACAGTCATATTTACTATACACTTAATATGTGCCAATTAGATTAAATTTCTAAATGGAAAAAAGTCAAAGAAGGCAAAAGAAATAAAAACATTCAAAATCTAGAATCGTTTAGAATGCTATTTCACATGTGGGAACCTATGTTTAAATCATAGATTGCAAATAGATCACTCTTGCATTTCAATTTTTTCTTTAAAATTTATTATTTTGCATTTTTATGTTCTACGTCATTTCCAAAACCAGAGAGGAAACTAATAATACCGAACTATCGAAATTACAGTTTGATGACACGTGAGTTTTCATTTAGAAATGAGCACACTCACAGTTAAACCATATGTAATGTTGTTTTGATTTTTGGATTTTTTTTTCTCCTCTAAGTTTGGATGAGCAAACGCTGGGGCAAAACTTAAAAACAAAACCAAAAAAGCCTCAATACAAAACAGAAATGAACTGATTTTCCTGCTACTAAAACTTAGGAAAGGTGATGGTTAATAAAAATTTAACTTGATTAAGATTCTGACTCCAGGTAGAGAATATATTAAAGAGGAATTCCAGTAAGCTTAAGTCAGAATTGTAATGAAATGAACATTAAGATCTTTTCTAATGATTACACTGATTAGCCTGGCAAAGCCCTGTTCTCCTGTGGGGTGACAGATAAAGCAGGTTTCTCTTTCTGACTCTTCACAGACACCAGTTATTTGACTACTCACAATCCTTTTCTCCAGGCAATGTGTAAGCTAAGGAAAGCTAGCATGAAAACTCATTTGAAACCTAAAAAGGTAATAGGAATGTATGCCAAGGAAAAGTGCATGCAGACAGGTAGACCAGTTGCCCAAGACACAAAATTAAACAGCTGACCTGCCAGTCTTCCAGCAGTGATTCCACAGATTCTTTGCTCCCGTATTTGATGTCCCAAACATTCCATTTTGATTTCACTTGATCTAGCAAACCAAGAACTGGGCACGTAGAGTAATGCATTTCCAAATGTGGAATGCATTTTATGCCCAAAATGTTGTTGACTCTGAAAAATAGTACAGATTTTAGACTTTCACTTAATATCAAGGGCCCAAGGCAAGTGATCCACTCAGCAATAAAAAAAAATATTCAGGCTCTTAACTTTTTCTTTTAAACATGTGGAATGAAGAGGCAACTTAAAATAGTTTTTCTTTTTTAAACAAAAGTGAAACAAGGAGCTTGGATAAACGGAATGTGGCTAGTCTCTAAAGTAAACAGACATGCAGCACATAGAACATTTTCTAGAAAGAGTAGTTTCCCACTACAAAATCTTTTCATAAAATGTTGACCTCCAAAACACTTTACTAAATTTGAACATTTCTATTAAGTTTTGTGCAATTAGACCCTCGATTTCGCATACAACTTACACATTAAAACC